ACGATGATTGTTGTGCACGATGATTGTGCATGATGATTGTTGTGCACGATGATTGTTGTGCACGATGATTGTTGTGCACAATGATTGACTGTTTTGGACAGATGGTCCCTGTTTGCATGTGTTAAAGCTTCTGAGATTTCAATGGGATGTTGGCTCGTAAACAACAGTGAAGGCTATTTATGGGACAGATCTGGTTGACAGGCCACAGTCTGATGAAGTCCTCTGGATGAAAGACAAAACGTCCTTAAATAAACTGTCCAGATGACACGATTTAACCTTTTTATTTTATTTTAAATATAGTTTCTTCAAAAGCGGGTCTACTTATTGGGCATGTTGGACATTTCTTTTTATGGTGTAGCTTATTCACACTCAATCAAATTTACAATATGAAAATGTCCCGATGAGACTGGAAACAATTCATCTTGTGGATATGATGACAGCGGTTTTGAAACTTTTGATCTCAGAGTTGAAACATCCTCTTTAGCTGAAACGCTCCATCATGAGTCACAGCAGTTTGTGAAATAACTTCCTGCTGCGCAGCTCCTCCTCCCAGTTCCAGCCTCTCTGAAGCCAGAGTCTTTTTTCTCTTCTCTTGGTAAATATTTTGGTTCCAAAAACAGAACAGAGTCCTAAATGAAAAGCGCTGTGTGACTCAGACCAGGAATGCCCCTTTAAATCAGCTCTCAAGAGCTTTGTGTTTGCAGCTTCTGTCGAGGCCTTCAGCTCGCTGCTGTAGCTGCAGGACAAACAGCACCATCTGAGGGAGGCTCCTGTTAGTCGCATCAAATTACAGGATGACCCTCAGAAAGATGTCATTACAGAAAACAGCTTCCCCACATATGTGGGAGATAATATTTAATAAGAGAGTGCTGCAGTTTGCTCTGTGAGAAGCTCCAGCATTCAGCAATTAACAAATGCTAGAAAACATCTGTATTTGACCAAGAACATCTGTCCTGCGCAGGAGGTGAGTGCTCACAGGATGAGAGTGGAGCTGCAGCCATCTTTGCCACGCAGCTGGATGACTTCCTGGGTGGCGGGCCGGTGCAGTACCGGGAGGTGCAGAACCATGAGTCCAACACCTTTCTGGGGTACTTCAAGTCAGGCATCAAGTACCAGGTGAGCCTCGGAGCAGGGTCACGATCTGAGTCATGATGGGGGCCTTCGATAAGACATGACGACAAGAGAGTCACAACAGAAACAGAAGACTTGTAAAAACCTAAAAATTTACTTTTTTTTCTTCTTTTGCCCACTGTTGAAAGGTGAAGGCAGAAAATATTGGTTTTGTTTGTTTCTCTGTGTGTGTCTGTTAGCAAAATATCTCATGAACCACTGGATACATTTTAAAGAAACTTGCAGAAAGTAACCACTGGATTTACATCTGCAGTGTTTTACCTTTCGGAATCAACCAGTTCAAGATGGCCACCACAGCCAACTAAACTTAAAGGACATAACAAAGGCCTATAGTTCAGTCAGTGTGACACATATTGACCTAAGATTTGTTGTGGTAGTAGCCGAGACTGATCCCCGAAACATATTCTGAGCACTAACTGATCATGCAAGATTTCTTTTTAACATTTATCTTTTAACCGTTTATAGAGTCAACATTGTTAACAAAATATCTGATGAACCACTGGATAGATTTTAAAGACATTTCAGAAAATATTTGTTGGATGACCCTCCAAGTCCATCCAGTTTTGGAGGTACTCGTTTCAGTCTCATAAAGAGTGAAAAAAAAAAAAAATCTTAATATAGGAAACAAAATCCTCAAAGTATTTTTCCCACATTGATGGTTAGAGCAGACGTCCTCAAATGGGGGGTGGGGGTTCAATTCCAATTCAGTTCAATTCAGTTTATTTATATAGCACAAAATCACAACAGAAGTTGTCTCAGGGCACTGAACAGGAACATTCACATACATAGAAAAGCCAATTAGTAAAGTTCTCTAAGGACGATTCAATTCAATCAATTCAAAATTACTTTATTAATCCTAAAGGGAAATTAAATGTTGATGTAGCTCATCCTGGTTTCATTAGAGTTGGTATAGATGCTGATGGCTTTGGGCAGGAAGGATCTCTTGTAGCAGTCTGTCCTGGATCCAAAAAAAAAAACTGGCTGCAGATGCCAATCCATTCGTCCATACCCAGCAGACCACTCGGTCCTCTTGAGCAACAGAACTGCCTGAATGTTGAGTAGAACTCCTCCCAGAGCGATGGCCATTTCTCCCAGCAGCTGCCGAGCCCCTCGTCGCCACAGACTTAAGGTGTCGAGGGATGCTCTCGGTCCTCCTGCTGTCACAAGCTACTGTTTCCTGCTACCTCCAAGATCTTGGTGGTCAGACACTTGAGCACTGCCTCCAGGTACACCGAGATGCATCCACGGCACCTCCTTTTCGGCATCTGATCCCAGCGGAAAACCCCCCCCAGTAATTAAAGTTTTCAAAACCACATCTCAGAATGAATGTAAGAGAGCTACTCTAACATGCAGCCGTCTTGAGCGGTGCAATTCTAATTCCACCAGCAGTCACATGCTGAAGTGCCCCTGAGCAAGACAGTGAACCCCTCATTGCCTCTGATGTGTGTCCCATCACTGTATGAATGTGATAAAACTCTGACTAGTCATTGTATAGATCTAGTAGAGTGCTGTATGAATGGGTAAATGAGGACACAGATTGTAAAGAGCTCTGAGTGTCTTCAAGTTCAAGTCAACTTTATTGTCTTGATAAGATAGAAAGGAGCTATACAAGTACAGTTCATTGAATGTGTCCTAAATCAAAAATATGAAGACAGCTGTAGACCAGCATGTTTGTTTTCCTACAGAAACATCTGAAGTGACAGCATTATGTTCATACTTTGAGTGGGACATCTTGGAATATTGCACGAGTTTGCACATAATTCAAGATTTGACCAAAACAGCTATCATCACTTTCATCATTTCTCAACGTGAGATGATCTTAATTCAAAACTCTGCCATGAAAAAAGGTGGGCAATATGCACGTTCCTTCAAGGAACACTAGGCCTTTTACTAGTTACGAGTCAACAGAGAGAGAAATGCTGGGAATGGTAGCTGTGCTCACGACTGCATGAAGGAGTTACTACTAGCAGTAGTAACTAGCAGTGAAAAAGACGTACCCGTTTAAAGAGAAATGGAGATAAACTAACACAAAAGGCGAGAGTCTGTTATCAACAAGGAGCTACAAACTGTTTGACCTGAAGGTTTAATGATTGCTTTGTCTCGTGAACTTTGCATCTGAAGTTCAGAGAACTCACAGCCTGTTATTTCAGTCTCAGGGTGTGTCGGACCCACTGACGAGCTGCAACCAAGGCACCAGTTTGTTCAGTGGGGGGTGTCACTTTTAATAACCTCCTGTTAGTAAAACAATAAACACAAATAAAAATTAAATAATTTAAAAAAATCACATAAAAATAATAGAAAGACAGTTCCTTGCAAGAATGCACATCAGCTGCTGTCGTTCATAATGACGGAGTCCAAACTACACCCCAAACAGAGGATTTGATGTTGAGAAGTGATGGAGGTGAAGTTATCTCAGTCCAGCGCTAACGAGAACAACGAGCATCATCTCTCTAGTGTCAGGAGTGTGGATTACTTTTTGCTACTACCACAGCAAATTTTAGCTCAGTCTTTATAAAATTCACTGGATTATAGCAGTACGGTGGCTCAGTTGGTAGAGCTGATGCCTCTCAGCGAGAAGGTTGCTGGTTCAAATCCTGGCCCGGGGCCTTTCTGGGTGGAGTTTGCATGTTCTGTCCGTGCATGCATGGGTTTTCTCCGGGTGCTCCGGTTTCCTCCCACAGACCAAAAACATGAATGTTAGGCTGATTGGTAACTCTGAATTGTCTCTAGGTGTGAGTGAGAGAGTGAATGGTTGTTTGTCTCGTTTGTCTCTATGTGTCCATGTGATGGACTGGAGACCTGTCCAGGGTGTCCCCTGCCTCTCACACTGATGGCTGGATATGGGCACCAGCGACCCCCGCAATCCTAAAAGGAAGAAGCGGGTAAAGATAATGGATGGATGGATGGACGGTTATAGTCATTTCTGTGTAGGCTAAGGTTGATTAGCTGTGTCAACCATCTTGACTTGTGTTGACTCCAGGAGATAATAAGTTGTAGATATGCAACCACTGAGAACGTTCTGAAAGTTTCATTAAAATCCATCTGGTGGTTTATAAGGTATTTTGCTAATAAACAAGAAGAGTTGATTTTAATAGTTAATGGCAATTTTTAATAACGATCTCAAACTCAGTCAGTGCTCAGGATCTAGGTTAGGGATCAGTCTCAGCTACTACCACTCCAAATGTCAAGTTATTATCTGTCAAGCTGAGTTTTAAATATTTTGTGTTTCTAAAGTTGCTTTGCCGTGGCAGCCATCTTGAATCAAGTTGACTGAAAGTTAATGAGTTGCACATGTCAGCACAGTGATTGGTTTTGTTCAAGTGGTTCATGAGATATTTTACTAACACTACAGGCAGACAAGTACACATACACACACAATATAGCTCTTTCTCTGCCTTCAGCAGCAGGTAATACTTTGTAAAAACACTTCCACCCTCCAAAATCTGGATGCAGTTAAATGAAATTAACTCAAATACCTTTGGACTTCTTCTGCTCGTGGTTGGGAACTCTGCTGCATCCGCTGATCCACAGAACCAAACCTCATCAACTTGTCCTGGTTTGGTTTCTCCGTGTCTGGAAACAGTTTAACAGTCAACAGAGTCTGCATTGTAAACATGGGGAAATGTACGCCCCATCCCCCACTGAGCACCAAGAGCTGCACAACGGTTCCATGAAAAGCAGCTGACTTTAACTTCAGAAAACAGAAAAAACTTCCATAAAAAATGCCATTTAACAAGAATAAACATCTGACTGTTGTCGTCACTCCTCCCAGTGGAGAGTCTTGCTGCTGCTCATCTGCAGCAGCTCATTTCCATGTTTTGTTTACTGGTTCAGCTGAGGACACACAGGTAAAGCCCTGCAGACATCAGATAATATTTAGTGAGCAGAAACCAGGAACTATACTGTGCTCTTACTTTTTTTTTTGTTTTTTTTTTTACCGGTCTTACAGTAAAACTTAGTTTCATCGGTTTACAAAAGAGTTTGCAGCACTTCATCGTTGATGAACAACTGATGAACTTTTGGAGCCACCACACTTCAAGATGGTTGATGATGGTTGTCACAACGTTTAGGGAAGACAAAAATGGCTCAGCCAGCTTAGTCTGTTTGTAGCTGAGCACTGTGAGGCTTGTGCCCCCTTGTGTCCTGCTCCTCCTTGTCGTCACTCCCTGTTTCCTGCACCTGTTATATGTCGCAGGTGTTTGCACTTTGTCTGGTCGGTGCTTGTGTATGTGTCTTGGTGTTTCTCATTGTCTGGGCATTGAGCTGTCGGGCTCCTGCTGGTCTCTGTGTTCCCTCGTGTCAGCCATGCATGTAAGTTTGGCTGCCTCTCCAGCCTCTTTTATGTTTATTATTTTTTAAAATAAATTCTTATTATATTCTCCCAGTCTCCGTGGTCTGCCTGCACTTGGGTTTGACATTAAAGAGCCGTATGTGACCAGCATCATCCCCAGCACATCTTTACAGTAAACTTTGGCACAAGTGTCAAACAAATATGGTCTGTTAACACTATATCTCATGAAACACGGTACAGAGTTACTGAAATGTTCAAAAATAATGTGATGTAAGTGAACCAACACATCTGGCTGGCCTTATGAAACACAAAAACAGCTGCAGTGTTTTAAATAATGAGCTAAAATTTTGTACGATGATAGCCGAGTCATTCACATCTCTTGATGTGAGCACATATCTCACAAAATCAAATGTTATCACGAGGTTGTGCAAAATATTGATTACAAGTTTTGACCAAAATGACTTAGGGGCTGAGATGATGTAGAGGTAGGGCAGCCAACCTGGGACCAGAAAGTCGTGGTTCGACTCCCAGCCATTCCCACATGTCATGGTGTCTCTGAGCAAGACATCTAACCCCTAACTGCTCCCCAGGTGCTTCCATAGCTGCCCACTGCTCCACCTGGGTGTATCTCAGGTGTGATGGGTTAAATGAAGAGAACTAATTTCATCATTGTATGGGAACATACTGTGCAGTGATGACAACATATAGCACTTATCACACTTATAGAAGTATTGTTTCTCATCTAAGACCTTAGTTTAAGACGCTGACACAAAAGTTGGCGGGTGATGTATGTTCTGTTAAGTAAAGGTAGGTCTTTAATATTGTCTTTTTCACTCAGCTTTGCTCATTTCTAATGTAATTGATGTGAGAGGAAGGTGGTTCTTGATTAAAAGGTGGCTTTCTGTTGCAGAAAGGGGGCGTAGCATCAGGTTTTAAACACGTGGAGACCAACGGCATGAACGTGTCGCGCCTGCTTCACGTCAAGGGCCGCAGGGCCATCAGAGCCACAGAGGTGGACATGAGCTGGGCGAGCTTCAACAAGGGGGACTGCTTCATTATTGACTTGGGAAAGGTGAGTTGTTTTTTAAACTAAATTCATGCCAATTAAGACAAAGTGAAACGAATCAGTGACGAGAATAAAGTAAAATTCTAAGAGCTTTTAATGTTTGATTAGATTGTTATTCATTGATATATTTGGCTCTACATTAACTTCTCTGAGTGAATTATTTGCTTTATACTACATGAAATATATTCATTAGTCAGACTTCAAGCTAATGAAAGAAGACGGGAACAAAACCTCCCAATTTAAACCATCATAATTGTATGGTGCACCTCCATCTCCACCATCGCAGTTTGTCAGGTTTAGAAGTTTTTATGGAGCATATTTCAAGGACTTCATGGCTCCACTGTAAGCTAGTAGTGACAGATGGAGGTGGGATCAGAGCTGAGCCCCTTCCTTGTTTAAAGCAGTGATGAACAGACTAAAAACTGATGAGGTCCGGCAGTACTCGTGGACTAATACTGTTTGCAGATGACGCTGTGATCTCTGAGTAGGCAGTATGCTCTGTAACAAAAAGGAATGATGGTATTCATGTGTGTGAATGAGAGGGAGACAGAGGTGAAGGGATTGAAAAGGTTTAAGGTGGGGGTGGGGGTGGGGGATGTTGGGATATGATGAGATGGATGCAGAAGGTCCGCTGTGGAGACTGAGGGAGCTGCTGGAAGGAAAAGTGGGGATGTCAGTGGAGCTGAAGCACAGGGTATAAAAACAGATGGAGAACAAATATGCTGTAAAAACATAAACCAGATGGGTAAAATAAAATTAAAAAAAAATTAACAGAAATGTTGACAATCTAACAAACAAAAGTATAAAACCTGAGATGAGTGACAACCATAACACAAATGTAAAGCAACAATGACCAAGAATTAAAAAAGGACATAAAATTCAGTTAAGTTTATTTATGTAGCACCACATCCCAACAAAGTTGTCTCAGGACACTTTACAGGAGCATTCACATCCATCCATTATCTTTTACCAGCTTCTTCCATTTTGGGTCGCAGGGGTCGCCGGTGCCCATGTCCAGTAATCACTGTGTGAGCGGGCGGGGGACACCCTGGACAGGTATCCAGTCCATCACAGGGACACATGGAGACAAACAAGACAAACAACCATTCACTCTCTCACTCACACCTAGGGACAATTTAGAGTTACCAATCAGCCTAACATGCATGTTTTTGATCTGTGGGAGGAAACCAGAGTACCCGGAGAAAACCCACGCATGCACGGAGAGAACATGCAAACTCCACCCAGAAAGGTCCCCGGACCAGGATTTGAACCGGGGACCTGCTCGCTAAGAAGTATAGGTCCAGGTGTACCTGAAAGACACGTTAGGATAGAAAAACTAATTACAAATACAGAACAGGTTGAGCAGAGTAAGTAAAGACGGTAGTATAGTGACGAAATGTAGGCAATTTGTCCTGATGCATGCTCAGTTTGTCCTCCAGCAGTCTAAGCCTATAGCAGCATAACTAAGGGACAGCTCAGGAAACCCAAGCCGACCCTAACTATAGGATTTATCAAAAAGGAAAGTCTTAATCCCAGTCTTAAAACTGGATAATGTGTCAGCCTCATGGACAGAAACTGGAAGTTGGTTCCACAAGAGAGGAGCCTGATAACTGAAAATGGCTGTAAGACAATTCTCTGGACAAAACAAACAAAACACAAGTCAGTTTAAGGCCTAATGTACTTTCTGTCAAAACTGTTAAATGTGGATTTTCCTGCATAATAATCTGGAACAGATTACCTGATTCTCCTCATTTTCAGTTTTTATAATTTTAGCTTTAAACTAGGTTTTACTTCTTTTAACATCAAACATTTTGCTCCTTTTACCTAGTCTTTTGCTTGTTATGTTTAGATAACGTTTTGTCAAATTTGAGTTTATAGCTTGCGTGTTGCTACATTTATCATCTTCCTACTGTTTTGCCACTTTTAGCTTTTAGTTATGTTTTGCCTCATTTACCTTTTTCACTGGTAGCTGTCATTTTGCAAGTTTTGTTTTTAGCTAGTATTTTGCTGCTTTTAGCATTTAGCTAGCATTTTGCTTCGTTTAGTTTTAAAAAGGTTATTTTTCCTTTTTATTATAGCTTAAGTCTGTTTTGGCTTGTTCAGCTAATTTGAGCAGTTATTCAGCGTTCACACTGCATTCTCACAGAAAATGACATTTCTTTCTGTGCATCTAATTTGTTTTAGGGCTGCTCCGGTTCATGTTCTTGTCCTCAGATGTTTACAGTTTAAAATGTTTCCAGAGGTTTCTGAGCTGGTTGTCTCCCTGCAGGACGTGTACCAGTGGTGCGGCAGTGAGTGTAACAAGTTTGAACGGCTGAAAGCCTCCCAGGTCGCCATTGACATCAGAGACAACGAAAGGAATGGTCGAGCCAAGGTGCACATGGTGGAGGAGGACCAAGAACCAGAAGACGTTATAAAGGTCAAACATATTAACTTTTTTCACCAAGCTTAACCTTCAGACATGATCTCATGTGGCAGAAGCTCTACATGTTAATGGTGCACTTCACTGCCACTGTTCGTCAGCGTGGGAACACAGGGACACAATGCGTCCTCTGTCATCTGCTGCTTCTGTGCCATGGTGGCATCGTGAACACTTCCTTTACACTGAAGAGGCCTAATGAGACCAGGGAGGAGCGGGGCTTTGAAATAATCAGTCTTTTTATTTTAATCGGAGAAGCTGACTAAGCTGCTTTGTGTTTTTATTTGTGCTGCCACAGAAATGTAGTGATTCATGCCTCAGCTTATTGTGCAGGCTTTAGGACCCAAACCCGCCATTGCTCCCAGTACTCCAGATGATGAGAAGGTGGACACCTCCAACAAGAAGAAGGCTGCCCTCTACATGGTGAGGAATATCTTTCATGGTCAGCAGATTGAGAGCATCTGTAGCTTTGTGTTGGAAACGTATTGACCTGGTGGTGCTCGTTTGTTCTTTAGATCTCAGATGCTTCTGGTTCCATGAAGGTGACGTGTGTGGTCCAGTCCAGTCCCTTCAAGCAGGCTATGCTGTCGCCTGAGGAGTGCTATATTGTGGACAACGGAGTGGATCAGAACATCTTTGTTTGGAAAGGTGATGGCAGCATTCTAGCATCTGTAAACCTAAAAAAGAATATCACACCTTCATACGCCACCGTAGCTCTGCTGGATGTTTCGGGTTGTTCTGCTGGAAGCTGAACCTCCGCCCCAGTCTCAAGTCTTCGGCAGCCTTTAACAGCGATTCTTCCAGGATTGTCCTGAATTTAGCTCAAACCGTCTTCCAATCAACTCTGACCAGTTTTCCTGTCCCTAATGGGAAAAGCATGCCCATAGCATGATGCTGCCACCACCATGTTTCACAGTGGGGATGGTGTGTTCAGGGTGATGTACTGAAGTCAAAACCGTTCAGTTTTGGTCTGATCTGAGCAGAGCTCCTATTTCCATGTTTTTATTATTTTTTTCAAAAAAACTTTCTTCTTGCCAAAGGAAAATGGTTGTAAGCTCTATCATCCAGGTAGATAACAACAAAAAAGGTTGTCATGCCATCTGGACCAGTTTCTTTAAGTGAGAAATGTTTCATCCCCCATCCAGAGGACTTCCTCAGTCTGCGGCCTGCTAACCAGATCTGTCCCAAAAGTAGCCTTCACTGCTCTTTCAAGCCAACATCTTGTTGGAATCTCAGAAGTGGGTTTTGTACACATGCAAAACACGCCTATGGGACAGATCTGGTTGGCAGGCCGTAGACTGAATAAGTCCTCTGGATGGGGGACGAAACATTTCTCACTTAAACTGGTCCAGATGACATGATTGAATCTTTTTTGTTGTTTTCTTCTTGTCACTCATCCATGAAGGACAGATTTGTAGGGTGCAGGACAAATAATTGTCCTGTGGACAGATTGTCCCCGAGCTGTTGATTTCTGCAGGTCCTCCAGAGTTACCATGAGCTTCACGCTCTCGTTGTCCGACCTGTTAGTTTATGTAGGTGGACGTTCATGTCTTGGTAGGTTCAGTTGCCAGACTTTTGTCATTTTCAAATGATGGATTGAACAGATGATGGAAAACACAAATGGACCTAGTGTTCCCTTGCCCGGACGTGGGTCACCGGGGCCCCACTCTGGAGCCAGGCCTGGAGGTGGGGCACGTGGGCGAGCGCCTGGTGGCCGGGCTTTTACCCATGGAGCTCGGCCGGGCACAGCCCGAAGAGGAGACGTGGGTCCCCCTTCCCATGGGCTCACCACCTGTGGGAGGGGCCAAAGGGGTCGGGTGCAATGTGGGATGGGTGGTGGCCGAGGGCGGGGACCCTGGCGGTCTGATCCTCGGCTACAGAAGCTGGCTATTGGGACGTGGAATGTCACCTCACTGGTGGGGAAGGAGCCTGAGCTGGTGTGTGAGGCTGAGAGGTTCCGGCTAGAAATAGTCGGACTCACCTCTACGCATGGCTCGGGCTCTGGAACCAGTTTCCTTGAGAGGGGCTGGACACTCTTCCACTCTGGAGTTGCCCCTGGTGAGAGGCGCCGAGCAGGTGTGGGCGTACTAATTGCCCCCCAACTTGGTGCCTGTGTATTGGGGTTCACCCCGGTGAATGAGAGGGTGGCCTCTCTCCGCCTACGTGTGGGGGGACGGGTTCTGACTGTCGTTTGTGCTTATGCACCAAACGGCAGTTCAGATTATCCACCCTTTCTGGAGTCCTTAGAGGGGGTACTGGAAAGTGCACCTTCTGGGGACTCCCTTGTTCTGCTGGGGGACTTCAATGCTCATGTGGGCAATGACAGTGAGACCTGGAGGGGTGTGGTTGGGAGGAACGGCCCCCCTGATCTGAACCAGAGTGGTGTTCTGTTGTTGGACTTCTGTGCTCGTCATGGATTGTCAATAACGAACACCTTGTTCGAGCATAAGGGTGTCCATATGTGCTCTTGGCACCAGGACACCCTAGGCCGCAGTTCGATGATCGACTTTGTCATCGTCTCATCTGATCTGCGGCCACATGTCTTGGACACTCGGGTGAAGAGAGGGG